TTAAATGTTTTGTTGTTTTAGTCTAATGCCCGTGTTCTATATCATAAATAAGATATTCTCTTATCTGTAGTAATAGCATGGCAAAGTCCACTTCTTGTGTGAATTAGAACCATTTTAAAGGATTTGGTACCTTGGTTATGGTGGAAATTTTCCTTTTGTCCTTCACGAGTTTGAACCTTTTTATACAGTTTTGAAATGTTTTCTTGTTGCATGTTTTGAATCTTTAGATGAAATCTGTTTCTACCATTAGAAAAAGTAGATGTTGAATTTTCATAAAATGTATTAACCAGGGATAGTGGCTGAGTGGCTCTACCTTTAGAAAAAGTAGATGTTGAATTTTCATCAAATTTATTAACCAGGGATAGTGAATAATTGAATGATTAATCCTTAATTAATTGAGGGCAACAAATCCTGAGAATTGATTTATTTTGTACTGTTGACAAGAATAAACTATAATGTCTCAACTATTGTTAATTATACATTTTTGTTGATATAAATAGAATAATAACAGGGACTCTTGAAACTATCACCTAGGGTTAAGTTAAAGTCATTGCAGTGGGTTCCTGTTTTGATGAGTAAAGCTTTTCTTTTGATTGTTGTTTTCTTTTCAGGTTTGGTATCTGATGCATTTCATTTGACATTTGGCTGTGGTCTCCTGACATTTTCATTGTTTGCAATGGCTGCTTCTCGGAAAAAGCCTGATAGTGTCTACACTTATGGGTGAGATGTGAATATTTTGTTATAAAAACTGAATGAAGTTTAGAGAACCTTATTGATCTCACTTGGAGCCGCAAAGATATATATGTATATATATATATATATATTTTGTTCTGCTACTTAATGATGCTGCAGTAATATTTTCTGTCTAGGAATCCTTCAATATTTTTTAAGTTGTTTTCTACCAGGAGATATGACTCTGCTTTGGTTTGTTTACTTACCATAAGATAATACCCCCTTGCTAAGACACATGCACACTTGTTCATTCACCTGCAGATACATGTCATTTCCTGTCATGTTATTGAAATTGCATGTACAGGGCTATATGACTGAGCTGTAATCATTTTAACTCTTTCCATTGGTCAGGTATAAAAGGCTTGAAGTTATGGCTGCATTCACCAATGCTGTAAGTATTTTTGTTTCCTGCACTATTTTAGTCAGGTTTATTTCTATAGTTAGAAAACTTGAATTGTATGTACTTCTCTCTAATATC